ACCATGTCCCAGAGCAGGGAGGGTTCAAGCTGGTGCTTCCATCCCGCTCTGTGCAGGGCACAGTCTGTGCCTTGTTCCGAGGGAGAGGCCAGTTTACATCACTTAAGCACAAGATCTGCCCGACTGGAACAGCCATGACCTCAAAAGGTTCCATCTCGGTGGGACAGGTCAGAGGCAGAGGTGCATCCACCCAGAGCCTGGGGTGCTTCTCAGCCCTCCCACACAAACCAGCTGGGGTTGTTGTGACAGGGTAAAGCCCTGTCCTGAATTCCTGAACTGGCACAACAGAGCCCGGAGTGAGGGCAGGAGACATGCCAGGAGCCAGCACCCACCTGCGTGGGTGGTCAGCTGAGAGGACGGGGAGATGTGCAAATCCAGAGCCCTTCAGCAGCTCTGGGGGCACTGATGGCCCCCGTGAGCCAAAGGCTGCAACTCACATGGAAAAGGAACTGACACAGACCCTGCAGGAAGCCCTCTCTGGGACCAGCCAAGTACAGGATCCAATCACACTGAGGCACCGCTGCCCAGACCCACCTTCTTGTTGTTGGAGAAGACATACAAGGCAAGGGGCTTCTCCCGACGGTTGATGAACTCAATGGCTTCCTCTACACTCTTCATGGTCACAATGGGCAGGACAGGTCCGAAGATTTCCTCCTCCATCACCTTTGAATCCGGGGAAACGTCGGTCAGGATGGTTGGTGCTGCAACAAAGAGGAGAACAGAGTGAGCAGGACAGAACACCTGGTCCATCACAAGACCTCGGGGCATTGTCTGTGTGCTCAACGTAACCCAAGCAAGCCACAGACACACAGACCCCAAAGGGCACCCCCTAACACCTCCCCTCCCAGCCAGCAGCACCTATGAAGCAGGAGGCCTCATCATTCTCTCCCCCATGAGCGATCTTCTGCCCTTCCAGCAAGCCCATCACCCTCTTGAAGTGGCGCTTGTTGACAATCCTTCCATAATCCGGAGACGACTTCACGTCCTCCCCATAGAATTCCTGACAAAGGCACAGCAGAAACAAAGGGCTCAACACACCTGCCAACAGCTCCAGCAACTCAGACCTGGGCTGTGATGGGGACAATTCCCACAGCACTGGGAGCTGCTGCCTCACCTGGAGAGTTGCCTTGATGTTCTCCACCACCTGGC